CCCTACCTCTATTTACCAAAACTGTCAGTTTTTCCTAAAGTGTAGACTACGAGAGCTAGGATACCGTTGCTAGAAGTAGTATGCCAATGTCAGGAGTGCTAATTTTAGTAATAGTGCTTGCTAAGGCCAGTAATTAGTATACTACAACGTGGCCTGTACGAGCATGTAAGAAATTTGAACCTAATCTGCACTTGTAACCTATATCGGCATTATAGAAAAATGAAGGGTTAAAGAAGCGTATATGTAATAATAGTTGAATATCTACCATGCATTTAGGTCATACGAAAAAGGCTTTTGCCGTTTTTCCAGGCTATCTTTGGCTGTCTACAGTACCGAACTCTAGTTTAGAATTTAAGGAACATTATTTCTCTAAATAGGTACACTACAAGTACGGTACTAAATGACAACAGTATGAAAATACAGTGCAGCAGGGATACTGGACTATTGCTGACGGTGGTGATACAATCGGTTTTAGTTCGTATAGTCCAGAGGGAAGTGTTATCGTATTAGATCTAACGATCACGTAAATATACTCTTAGGAAGTCGGCTCCAGATAGGAATGACAGGGGAGACGACCTGACTAATGTCTGTCAACATCTGACGACTAAATCTAGTCTCGAGAAATTCCGATTATCCGACATGGCATTTAGGGTTTCGTCTGTCCGAGCCAAAGGAGAGTCATCTTTTGTAGTCACTGGGTGTAGTTTTCGATAGACAACGCACAGCTCCCTGGTACCGTCTTTCTGCATGACTAGCTCAACTTTTACCACGCCTTGGCCTAAAACTCTTTTTTATATTAATTTTTCACCCGGCTCTGACGGTTTTTTATCTGCTCTTCATACACTTTCCCTATCGCCTCTACAGAATCTTCTTCTGCGAGTGCATCTTGAATTCAAAGCCGGTCTCCGTCAGCGGCTCTCCGATCTCTCCGTCTTCCCGGACGGCGGACCTCAGCAGGGGTAAGCAATTTATTGTTTAGTATTATTTTCACTTTTGAACATCTTCCTTAATTATATCTAGTAGCACTCATATTGTGTTTTATTTTAGTCTGGTTGATTCTGAACTGGCCTTCTACTTGAACAACCTACGAGGACTCACAACGAGTCTCGGTCATTTTACCGACGACTGTGATGACATATGGCCATCTCGATGACTATTTCCCTAGCCAGCACTCCTTTCCAGCACGTGTGTGTGATACCATCTTCCGCCTTCCCTGGATTCTCGGCTAGCCGAGTTAAACCGCTGCTGTCCTCCTCTTTCTCCCTACCTTCTTTTCCAGGTCGTCTTTCGGCCCTTTGCGTGAACAAGGGAAATCGGCTCTGTGCAGTCCTATTTTTGATTTTCACTTCGGAGTTTTCTGTACTTTGACTGTAATTCACCCTCTTTTCCATTCTCCTTCACCGCCCCGAGGTGCCTTTCTTCTCTTGGTGGTGCTGCGTTTTGCGTCCTAGAATCCAGCGTTTCTATGGCAACTTAGTCCAGCATTTAGCGCAGATAGTGTGCTCACTCCTTCCCGTTGTGCCTTCGGGCTCACTCTCGCAATATCTGCCACTGTGTATATTCCCGATCGAAACCTGTAAGGCAACGAGTCCGTGGCGCTGTGGTTAGGACGTTGCACTCTTCACTAACAAGGTCGCGGGTTCGAACCTCGGGTTTGGCTAACCCTGGAGTTGGGAATGGCTGATGATGGCTACCGAGCCAGAAATTGCCATTCCATCACCCTTGTCTTTGTCGGTTATGTCATTTAGCCCGCAGATACAGCGTTACTTGTGGTCCAATAAAGATGCTCATGCTAGCGAAAGTGGGGGAGTGACAGTGTAAAGCCTGACTTTACTCTACTTTCCTTAGTAATAAATCAGAGTATGGGAGGCTGTGTAGTCAGTTGGTTTCTAGTTGGAGAATGCCAGAAGCCCTTAGAAACTCCACTGAAACGGTACAAGCATGCATAAAAAGTCGTTAAGTTGCGAACATGTTTGCAGGTTGTATTAGTATGCATGGAAATAATAATGAAATATGGATGCTTAAAAGGTGAGACCTTCGTGAAATAACAGTGTATAGCACGTTTGCTGCATTCGCAAAATGAAATTTTCACCCGAGTCAGCGTTCATGCAGACGAA